AGCACTTGGCTCCTCCCCCTGGGCAGAGCATCTCACAATGGGTTGATATCAGTCTGTGAGTCAGGCAGTGGGTCCTTGATGGTCCCTTAAACAGAAATAGCTCCTGGGGGGAGCTCTGTATGAGTCATGGGGCGAGGCATGGATGGGCCCATTAACAGGGAGGACTCCTCCTGCTGGGTGGGAAGGTGTTAACATCTCCCCAGACCTCTTTCCTTATCTGTTATAGCCTGGGATGTGAGGTCTGTCCTGGGCAGCTGCTACCAGTGATTTTGTTAACAGCCCATGAGCACTGACATAGAGAGTATAGAATACACAGTTTTTGGTTCTACTCACATAATGATACACTGGTCCCAGCCCCTGTAACTATGACACAGGTGTGTGTTTACCCCTGCTTATGTGGTCATTCCAGGTACTTGTGTAGGCAAGGTCTATATCTAACTCTTCACAGAGCAGTTTGAGTTGTTTAGGACCTCCAGAGGTCCTGCCATCACTTAGATCTTCCTGTTTATTTTAAGTTTGAATTCTATATAAAATAGGGTCAGTTTATTTTCCTACAATGTATTGATAGTCTCTATGAAGAAGCAGTAAAACAACTGCTTGTTTCCCAAAGTCAGGCTTATGTTGTCTTAAAAACCTCTTCAGATTTTAACCCAGGTTAAGCAAATGAAGGCTGACTTGAGTACACTAATTCAGCTGGTGTTTTTCAACAGACTTGCATGCCAGCTTTGTTATAGGTGGAGGTTCTGGACTCAAGAATCTGTTTCTGAAGGAAACATATTTCTCATAATTATCATCATTGGAAAAATGCTGCAACAATTGCCTTCAGATTCTTAGGAAGACCTTGAAAACAGATTTTCAAGCTATAGCTGTAATGCTGTCTTGCATTCTGACTTTGCTTGAAACTACTGTTCTTGTGATAGGTACTTCATTCATCCTGAAGTGAGCTGGAGAATTTTTTTTCAGTTGGTACTTGTTAACTCTTGAACATTTTTGTACTATGTATACAATTAATTGTTCTGAATCATATGTCCAGTGTAGTAAACTTTTCAAAGCCACTGTTGTGGTTTAAGACCACCCAGCTGGCAAAAAGCACCTTGCAGCTACTCACTCACCTTCAGTGGGATAGGGAGCAGAAAATACAAAACAAAAAAAAAATCCTCAAGGGTTGAGACAGAGGACAGGGAGGGTTTGCTTGCCAGTTATGGTTATGGGCAAAAAACAGACTTGACTTGGGGACACAATCGATTTAATTTAAACAATAAAACCATCACAAATTTACCAGTTGCATCAGAGTAGGACAGTGAGAAATACAACCAGATCTTAAAAATACCTTCCCCCTACCCCTCTCTTCTTCCTAGGCCGAGCGCTGCTACTTCCTTCCCACCAGGGGGGCAGGGAATGGGGGTAATGTTCAGTCCATTCCATGTTGTTTCTGCTGATTGTTCCTCCTTGGTGGGGAAAACTCCTTACAGGCCTGCCCTGCTGAAGTGTGGCATCCTTCTCATGGGAGACAGTCCTCCACAAACTTCTCCAACTAGTACAGGTCTCTTCCACAGGCCACAGTGATAGACTGCTCCAGCATGGGCTTCCCTCAGAATCACAGCCTTCTTTGGGTGCAGCCACCTGCTCTGGTGTGGAATCTTCCACAGGCTGCTCCACCATTTATCTCCAAGGGCTTCAAAGGCTCAGCCTGCCATCTCACCACGGGCTGAAGGAGAATGGCTGATCCAGGGTGTCTCCTCCCTCTTCTTCACTGACCTCGGTGTCTGTCTTTCTCATGTCCTACTTGTCTTCACCAAAACAAAAGAACAAGCCCAACAGATTTTTTCGCTCTTAAATATGTTATTGCAGAGGTGCTGATTGGTTTGGCCTTGGCCAGTGGTGCGTCCAACTTGGAGCTGGGAGAGCTTCTCAAAGCTGCTTACAGGAGCCACACCAGTAGCTCCCTCTCCTGCTACCAAAACCCTGCCAGAGGCAAACCCAGCACAGCCACATATGTCCTTTACACATTTATCTTATAGATGCTTGGCTAGCCTTAGATTTTGGATTAAACATTTAACAAGTTCTGGGTTGGCTTAACTGTTTTAAATTGCCAAGTCAAGCTAGCTCAGCTGATTTTCAATGCAGTGTCTATGTTATGTAGTGTTTGCACAAGCAGCTTCATCAGCTATGCTGGAGGAATCCTGCTGTCAGGGCTGAGAAGCAAGACTTGTTTCACTAGTGCATCTGCATCTGGAGAGGACCAGTGCTCAAAGCCTTACTGAGAGAAGTTTGTAGGGAATAACAAATCCTTACAAAAGTCAACCTCTGCTTGTAATAGGAAGCTACTTAACACTGTGTTCAACTACCTGTCTGGAGGTAGTTAATTTTTGATCTGAACTCTCCTGGGGACTAAATTTAACATTGTCATAACAGAGTCTTTATACATGCAGCAAAGGGAAACTTCAGTTTCTTGCATGTTTCATGAAACTGATAATACATTTCCAGTGAAAATGGAAGTTGCTTTCAATTATGGTGATACTTAGTGAAAAGTGTTCTTTGAAAGGATGGACTTTTGGCTTGTGTTTAAGCTGTTAAGTGTTAGCTTTCAGAGCTGGTGTTTGGTTATGTAGCTAGGACTGTTACAGTGAAGGCATTGCCTGCTCTGCAAGTACTTAAGAGGAATTCATGTAACTGTGGAATGCTGAAAAATATAAGAACAATTTGTAGGGGAGACATTCTTCAGCTGAACTATATGATTCTAAAATTGTGTGAGCTTTTCTTTAGTATATTAGATTGTGTTCTGAGAGGCAATAAAGCCAGACTCTAGTTTAACGTGCAAATAGTTGATTTTTTTTTCATACGGTCTTAAAACCCTCTGACAACAGAACATAACTGCTTTCCTTTACTCAACTTTAATCAACCAGAAATCCCACCAGAGTCAAAGAAATTATAAAAGTAGCAAATTTTTAATATCACTTTCAGCAAACATTCTGCACTATAGTTTTGGGTTGCTACTTTCTTGCTCTGAAAAACTGTGGTTTTTTTTTCTTGTGTACAGGGCAACAGCTGGTCTGCTAACAGAAACACGTCTGTTTTGATTCTTTTTCAGACAGTTATTATACTTGGAAAGGTGAAGAAGCATGGAAACTAGGGAACTCCTTGTATGCCTCAAAATAAATTTATCTCTACATGGGCCTCAAACACAATCTCAGTCTTGCATACCTGAAAAGTACTGCTGGCTGTAGGACTCTCTTCCTCAATAGCAGATGAACCTTGGGCATCTCAGAGGTTCCAGAAAGAAGAGATGTCTTCCTCTAAATTGTGGCACTCATGTCTTTAATGTCTTACCAAGACTCTGAATTACCATGTTGTTACGAATTGGCATCTAACACTGGAGAGCTAGGAACGCTGCTGATGTGGTATTTGGCCAAATGATGGTATGATCAGTGTCATGAACAGTGAAGCAGCTGGATATCAGGTAGCCCTTCTGAAAGTCAGTGAACTCAGAACAAGCAGTACCTTTCTTAGACAAGTATGCCAAAGTGAACTTGGTCTACAGACTGCAGACTTGCTGGGAATGCTTTATATAAGCGTGGTCTGTGGTCCTTGCTGGAATGAGTCCAGCAAAGGGTGACTAAGATGATTAAGTGACTGGACCACCTTTCATACAAGGAGAAGCTGAGAGCTGGGGTTGTGTAGCCTACAAAACAGAAGAAAGATTTGGAGGGATCCTCTCACCAGGTATTTATGTACATATGCACATTTATGTACATATTTATGATAAGATCTAAAGAAGGCTGAGACAGGTTCTTCAGTGATGCCTAGTGACAGGACAAGAGACCATGAATGTAAATTGAAACACAAGATATTCTGTCTGAACATATGAAAACATTTTTACTGTAGATGAACGCTGGAATAGGTTGCCCAAACAGATTATAGAGTCTCCCATACTTGGAGATAGTCAAAACCAAGCTGAACAGGGTATTGAGCAGTCTGTGCTAGCTGACTCTGCTTGGGCAGGGGGGTTGAACTAAGCAATCTCATTATACCCTTTCCAACTTCAACAATTCTGTGATGATCAGAGGCAGGAATCTGAGAGATTTTTCTGTGTAAGATGTTTTACCTGTTGGATCTTGCTGATTCACTTCTATTTGGTATAAATGGCTAGTGTAGTGTGGAGTCTTATAAGAAACCCTCTGGTCTAAAATGTTCCTTACATTAAATATGATGCAAGGCGAGTACCTTTGTTTCTTACGGGGAAAAGCTATAATGGTAGTCTGTGTGTTCTTTATCTTGTACATCTTTTGTACGTATTCTGTGATTGGCTTTTACTTCTGCCTGCTCTTTCGTGGCCTACCTTTCCTCAAAACTATATTGGGGAAAACTTGAGGAAAGCAATGCTGTGTTCCTGTGAGCATATTTCTAGTATCATACAATAATCCTGGCTTAAGAAGGGAAGAATGGCTCTGCAAAAATATATAGAGCTGTATTTTGAAACACTATAATCAGGTATAAACACTCTTAAGTGTCATCATGGGGAGTAACTGGGCTGCCTGTTCCATACTACCGAGAGAGCAGCCAGCCTTCAGCACTCTTAGTTGGTTAGCAATGTGCTACCTTCAGATCTGCTTTCAAGTATGCTTGCCCATTCCTGTTGACCCTGCTGGGAATTGCCAGATGAGTGTAACCTTTTTTTTTTTGCCCCTGTTAGCTACAAAGTGAGACAGGGTTGTCCTTATTGACTGTTGTGTTCCCTACCATGTAAAAGTTCTTGGTTCAGTCTGAACTCTCTACTGAAGGATGGTGACATTAAGAACACTCCTGCTGTATGCTCTGTTCATAAGTTATTCTGCTGGCTGTTTGCTGTCACTGCCACTTAGGCTGCATGGTGTAATTCCTGGATATTACATTAGTGCCTTCTGTTCTAAATGAATCCAAGGTCAAGAGCATTTGTGGTTTGCACTTCTGTTAATCAGGGAATGCAGAAGAGTTGAATGTTTTCTCCCTTCTCTCCCCAGACAGCCTGCCTGCGTTCCCCATTGCCATGGTGGCAGGGATAGTCATCGGTACGGTTACAGGTCTCTCACCGCTCATCTCTATTGTCGTGTGTCTTGTCATCAGAAAGAACAACTCTAAAAAACGATACTCTGGGTAAGACATCTTCCTCTTCACCTGTGGGTGATGTGAGGAACAGCAGCAAGTTCAGAGGGAGGGCTTAGACGGGAGCAGGAGTTGTTTCAGCCAAGTCGTGGCAACCATGGCTAGAGATAGGGTGTGGCCATGGGGAACACTGGTCATCTCTATATAGTTATTATCTTTGTGCTGTGCTTGAAAAGACCTATTGACCATGAGTTGCATCTGAAAATCACTAAATGTTCGAGCTGATCCCCAGCCACAAGCATATGTGCTCTAAGAATTTAAGATTAGAATTTAATCCAAGATCCCTTAGCTCTGGTCTGTTCCCCTTCCCTCCAGTTCTGCTTCCCTCTTCCACCCCCAACCCCCAAAGGAAAAGTGACACACATGCACTTTTAAGGAATGTTCTGCTTTGAGATTGACTGGATTTTTCAGTTACTAGTGTCTGGTTCCTGAGCCTGGAGTATTCTCACCAAAACCCCATTCATCACCACGCTTCAAACTAAGAAAGGAGTAGCCACTTTGCATCCATTCTCATTCGCTGTCTTTCTTTTTTTTGTTGTTGTTGTTAACTGTTACTATCCCTGCAAAGTTTCACAGATCTTTGAATGGGCATACAAAAAAGCAATAAGAATTAACAAAGGCAGATTTGAGTCCTGTGGTGATGGAGCTTGGTTCTGGTGGGGGAGGCACTTCATTTTTTTTTCTACTCTCTAATTAGCTGGTAATTTGCTTCTATAAGAAAGAAGGAAAATCATATATGTAGTCTCAGAAACAAAGCGAAACACATTAATTTCTTCTGTTCTTTCCCCAACAAATATTCCTCCTTCTTGCAGGTTCTTTGGGTTGCCTGTGGGATAAAAGAAAACTATTAAAAAAAAAACTTATGGGCATTTCTAAATTAAACTTGCCCTGTCCTTTTCCCAGTTGGAGAGCTTAGAGAAAGTCAGTTGGCTATTGCCTCATGGTAAGGCTAAATATAGCAAAGGTGGTTCCTTGTGCTCAAAATTGTGTGGAAAGCCTGATTTTTCCCTTTCTGCATTTCCTTCCCCTAAGAACTGAAAAGAATCCTGCAGTGTAATGCACCAGCAGTGTGCGTGAGGTGGTCCACTTGCCTTGCCTCCCAGTGACCTGCTCTCCAGTGTCTTCCTGGTGAAGGACACATGCTAAGGCAGAGCCTGAAACATAAATTTATGCACTGTAATTTCTTGTAGTAGATTTAATTACTCTCATGGGAAGGTAATCTCTAAAGTTCACATACTGCTTTCACTGACCATGCCAGCTCTGCATGACATATAAAGAGAAACCAAGTGTGCTGTTACCCTTCCAAACTTGCGGACGGTCTTCTACATGATGCTAACCCAGAGTGTGGTGGTGGTGAGATGCCCTTACTCTTAGATAACCATTCTGCTTTGAACTGAGGTGGGTTGGGGGCACTGCGTGGCATCTGGAACCCCTGCATGGCAACAGTCTCTGTTCATGTTCTGACTTTGGTATTTTGTTTTGTTTTTTTTGTTTATTTTTTCTTTCTGCCTTGGTGTGCTGGGATTGGAACCTGCTTACCTTCCTCTCCTTACAGAGATCCTGATATAGACGCCAGATTGGGAATGTAACAGGGCTGGGTCTTCTCTTCCAGTCACTCTAGACACCATGGTAACTAATCAAGTTGGTGATTGCTGTTAATACTTGTGTGTATGTGTACACATTTCCTCTTCCTTTGCTGACTAACCAGCTAGCTCTCTATTAACGTAACTCCACTGTAATTTGTGCTGGAATCTGTTGGCAAAGGGAAGATGCATTTCACTGGGTGCTTGGGTTTCATTGTCTCATGTCTACTTGGGGTGGGATTGCTGCTTATCCCAGATGGTGTCCCTCCATCTTTTCCAATAGTGAACTTCCCAATGCATTGACTGAAGCACAGGAAAGTCAGAGCCCTTTCTGTACCGAAATAAAAGTAAATTCCCTAGAAGTGATCCCTGGCTCAGACAACTCAGGTGTTTCAAAACTCGCAGTGATATAAGTGCATAAGTCACTTAAACCTGAATTACAACTTTTAGATAGTGTAGGTCTGAGGAATTTTGTTAATAAAGCATACTATTAATGATTACATAATTTTGGAAACAGAAGGTCAGTGGTGTCTCTGAGACAGTAGAAGCCTCTTCCAATGATGGCCGGGGGCAGTATTTTATTTTTTCTTACTCCTGCATGTATGAGGAGCTAAGTCTTCTATGGTTAGACTTGCCAAATGATAAAATATTATTGTGCTGCAAGGAGGTGGTCTGCTTAATGTCACTATCCTCATTTGTTTATTTCTGTACTTACTTTGTACACTGTCTACAAAGACTGGGGGAAAAGGATGCCCAGTGGTCAAAGAGTTATGGTAGTAAAGGGAACTCATGTGTCTGCTGTCAAAGAAGTGGCTACTTTTTCCTGGGTGCTCGGGTACAAGGAGGTAAACAGCATTTAGAGACCTATTACTGCATTGCCCAGAAGCTGCCAATGTTATGTTTGAGGGCATTTGCTCATATGCTTAGTTCTGTGCTATTAATTTCTCTCTCTGTCACAGGCTTGTTTTCTTTTCAGTCCTGCTTTAAGCAGACAGAAACAAGCAAACAGTGAAAACTGTCAACCTTCTTTTAGGGGTATTGGTTCTCACCACAAGACAGTTTTCTTGTTTAAGAAGCAAGATTTGTCTGATGAGATTTTCAAGCAGCTATATTAGGGCATGTAGCTTACATGTCACATGTGACTCAAAGTAATTGCTCCAGAAGCTGGTGTCTGTTGTGAGTGGGCAGAATTTGGGATCGTAGCCTAACCAGAAGCAAGGGAACTAATGCAGAGCTTGGTAGGAAGTACCTTTCTGGTATGGAGAGCGGGTTAGTGGATCTTGCAAGTGTTGGATCTAACAGTAACACTGGTATCACACTTGCCTCAATGTCAGGGACTATTTAGCTTATGATTAGAAGATAATTGCTGTTTATCACTGTTACCCGAGTCTGAAGTCTTGGTGAAGAAACCACATATTGTTTTACATAGGTTGGGTTGAATGGGGATATGTAGGGAACAGGGGGTTTGGAGGAGCTCTTGTCCTGTGTTTGTGTTACTTACCAGTGAGACTCGAGGAAGTGTAGAGAAATGTCTGGGGAGAGATGGAGAATTATGTGTTTATTTCATAATCCATTATATTCATTTTTATTTTGGCATAATCTGCCACATTCATCTTGCCATCACTTGTGTTTGTTTTTGTTTTTTTTTTTTTTACTTGTGCCTCTTGAACATTGTCATGCAACCTCTGCTCTGCCACCTCGTCAGCTGCAGTACATCTGAGAGTTTGATGTCACCGGTTAAGCAGGCTCCGCAGAAGTCGCCCTCCGACACAGAGGGTCTGGTAAACAGCATGCCCGCCAGATCACACCAGGTAAACTGCTTCCTGCTGCTTCCTGAAGCAGGATCCTCCCAGAGTGTGGAGGAGATGGTATGGAAAAGATAAGGGCAGGGTGGGACAAAGGATTTAGGTGCCATCTGTTAAGGTAATGAAGGCTGGGGGGTAAAAGTGTCTGCTTTGAGCAAAGGACGGGCAGTAAGCGGAGACTGGTGAACTCTTCTGTAGAAGGCTTCATGCAATTTAAAGAATAGCATCTTGATGCTAGTTGAGATAAGAGTTTTATGCCCTTTTGGTATTAATGTATAAGAAAAGATGGTTCAGATCCTTGTGTGCTAACACATACAAGTGGTAGTGAAGTGCAGGGATGAAAGCCTGGCATGGATGAGGCATGGGGAGTGAGGAGCTGTTAATGTAGAGACAACATTATATACTAGATGTGTAACCACCCCATAACAGTGCCTAATCTGTTCTAGGATTGTCATGGGGAGGAATTTTACTTACTGTGTTCCAACTGTGAAGGTGCGTGCTCTGTGGCACTGAAATGCTGGGGTTTGAACCTCGAGCCCTGAATTAAGGTTGACATATGGGTGATTCCCACAGCCCTTCATAAAGAGGGGGTGAGTTTGCCTTATAGCTTCCCCCCAGGGTGCGGCCGGCCCTGCAGGGAGAGCCATGAGGGAAATGAGCCCCAGGGGTCCCGCATTGAGTTGACAAAGGTCGGGTGGCTGCTTGGGGATAAAAGCTGGGACCACTTGCAGGGAGTCAGGAGTGTCTGTCTGTGGAGTGCACTCCACAGAGCGTTCTGGATCTCCCTGGAGCTGGGCCACGGTCTGTTTAGGCCTTTGCGAATGCGGGCGGATCGGGTGAGAGTCACTATGTGATCACCTCTATCATATGTGTTTAGCTTGCTGGTCTGGCTGTTTCCCATGCCAACTGTGGGCAACCTCGGGTCTCTGTGTGTGACGTCCTGTGTGAGATCGTTGGGGGTGGCATCGATTATGTACCAGCTGATTGATCTGTTTGTCCCCCCAGCGATCATTCATGCAATGTCCTTCTTGTATCCAATACAGTCTGTGTATTGGTTCATCTTCCTGCTGGTGGTGCTATCATTTTTGTTGGGCCTGGTCATTGGCAAAACAGGCACGTGCTTGCTTCTCAAGGAAATGAACCAATGCAGTGCAAACACTGGCCAGTGATGATCAGCTTGAAGATGACTCTTGCTGCTGAGAGCCTTCCAATGCTGAGCCACCAAATGTTTGTGGGCTTGCAGTTGCCATACTGCCATACCGTGTCACTCTTGTGTTTTGCTGCAGTGGCAAAGTTTTGCTGATTTTTGAAGGAAAAAGGTGGCTTTTATCCAGACTTAACATCCCATGGGAAGTTAGAGAGGAGGGAGCATGAGTCAGACAGGGATTCTACACAATATACGATTACCTTTTAACAGTGTACAGGATTTCATATTTGTAAGCTGTTTCATACCTCTTGATTTGTCTGAGAAGTTTTCATGTGGAAGTGTGGATCTCGAATGCATTTAAGTCCTAAATGGACTTCTTCTTAATTAGCCACATTTTAGCAAGTGGCTGCAGAGTTGTTTGTGAATTTACAAGTTTCTACATCAGAGCTAATACCTGGTTTCTTAATTTCTCCTGACAAAATCATGGGGATGTGTTTTAATGCATTAACACTGCAGGAGAAAAATGCAGTGCTAACAGTGAGCTGGATAATAAAGTCAAAGTCCCTACTCTGGCTTCCAGTTTGGTTTTGAATTGCATCTTGTTCTTGGCAGGTGAGTTTTTCCACAGTTTTAGTACATAGGCCCATAAAGCTACCTACTGACTTCAGAAGACAGTTATTCTCTGAACATAAAGGCAATATATATAAGCTATGAGTTTTAAAAGTAGTTTGGATTTTGACTGGAGTGGGTCTAGTAGCATCTGGCTGCCTATAACATTTACATAAAGCTCAACTTTTCAAGTTCATGGAAGGGGCTTCTAGAATGTGTGGATGAGACAGGTGATTCCCACCTGTCATCATCGTCCCCCACCTCCCAAAAATTAAAGGTTGTGTGGAATGTGTTGCAGTAGCTGTTAAGAGTCAACTTCCCTTGGTCAGAAGACTAAGATGTTTTATCTAATTACTGTCACAGTACAAAGCAGCACATGCAAGTGACCTGAGAACTACATGGAAGAAGCGTTCTGCTGTTTTGCACTTGCATCATGAAAGCAAAAATACTTATCTTTTCTGTAACATTTCGGTGTGAAAACTTGCTGTGTTCCCAGTGTTCTGCAATGTACTGCAAGGAATTTGTCAGAGTAAATCTTAGCTTTGTAAAGATAACTTGGAACTGGTGTGCTTTCTCCCTTCTGTAGTCACTCCAGCCTGCTTATTCCTTGACAGAATCCTCCAGGGTCTTCCTGCAGGTAAGTTCCTAAAGGAAAACCCAAAGTGTGAACACTGATGACCTCAAAGGAAAAATATGGCAAGTGGCTTTAGTTTGGTTCACTTTTAATTTACTTTTAAGTTCTGAATCTCTTTTATGAGGCAAAGAGAGCTTTGTCTGGATTTTGTTTTCTTGGCAAACATTTGTAGGAGCAAGTGTTTCCTCTACCTTCTGTTAAGCCCCACCTTTACAGAAGAGCAAGTAAACATATTTACTTTTCTTCAAAAAGATGCACACACACAATAAAATCAGGGTAGATCAGATTTTGAACAAACTGTTTAATCAGTGAGGAAACTAAATTTCAGTGCTGATATTTAGATTCCTAGCAATTCCCGGCAGCTGTCTGCAGGCTGCTTGCAGATTCAGGCTCAGTTTTGTGTCTCAGATTGCTTGGCAGTTTTAGACTGGTGGTTCACACAGTTGGTGCTGCAGTCAAACAGTAAAGGCCTGTGGACGTCCTTGTAGCCTATTACTTAGTAGATTATGTAGGAAGTGACTGAATGCTTTGTGCTTCACCGATGGAGAAGAACTGTGGATACAAATACACAGCCCCTGTCTCTGCGAGTTAAAATCAGTAATAGAGGTGTTCACTCTCAGAGTGGCATTTAAATTAAATTTATTAATTGAAACTTATTCATTTTGTTATTTATGTATCAGTTTAAGAATCAGTGATGAAGTATTTGTCCACATCACTTCTCAGCTAAAGCCTGCACTTCCTTTGTGTTTTGCGTGCGAGTTTATCAAGTGTGGACCTTGCTTTCTGGAATGCCCCAGAGTGCTGAAAGTAAGTGTATATGATTCTGTGAACGTTCAGCTGGTTCAAGCAACTCCATTTATGTGTGAAAGCATTTCCAGTGAAGGCAAGAACTATGTGTTTCCCACATGGATGTCCTTGTTTAGCTAGTAATCTGGGTTGCAGCAGGCAAGCTGGCAGGCAGGTGTGTGTTGTCCCAAGATATGTTAACTCCAGGGTTGCTGTCATTTGTGCTTTGCAAGTAGCTAAGTATTAATTTCTGGGCAGACTGAAGGACCACTGATCTTCACATGTAACTTCCACGGAAGTGAATTATGTACAGAGCACTATGGTGTAGAGATCCTAAGTGGATGGGTCTGTCAGCGTAGTAGAGGGGAACACTAAAGCTACATTAACTTAAGTGCAGATCTCTGGCTTTGCTTTTTCTGGTTTAAGGCCAGGCCTTGTCAGACTACATCTGAGCTCTCTTCCAGGCTTTGAACTGAAACCCAGGACCCTGGGAAGGAGCAGTTCATGGTGCCAGGAATCTTGATCTAAATTTCAGATAAATTTCCTGGAGCGGGAATCTGATGTAGTTGCAACATCTTTTGGAATCTAAAAAAATCTGAAAATACTGTAAAACACTGTTAGACCATGATGTTCTAACTTTGTAATTCCTTTTTCTTTGCTGTACCTTGCAATTTATGACTCTGCTGAGAAACCCATGGCAAGGCTTAGGCAAATGCTGGGGTTTATATGGCAGTGCTGTTCTGTCTTCTGGTTCTGAAGAGTTAGGATAAGCTTGTTTGGGAATAGGTGAAAGTTCTGAGGAGTTTAGACTTTTTTTGAAGCTTTTACTTTTGGAAGAAGAATCTTTACAAAGATTCAGGAAGTATCAAATCCGGAAAAAAGAATGGCCCTGTTGCCGATTATAATCGGCTAGAAAAGCACTTGGCAGTAAGTCAAATGGGGGGGGGCATTCTAGTAAATCCTTGGTCCTCCCTTTTTCTGTCTTAGCTATGTGTGAGACTTGAAATCCAGAATCTTCTAAGACATCAGTAAGGGTTTTTTGAACATTTTCTCAGTGTGTTATTTATATTCAGTGTTTTATATCCACCTGCAAGTTTTATCCTTCTGTCCATCTCCCGCCTCTATTCTATCACTTGGGAATTACTTTACCTGGAAGGGAGAAAATCTGGACTTAAACTACTTCTGAAAGAGAACAAGCTATTTATCAAGTGCATGCTTTGCCATTGTGTTGGAGGGAAAAGAGCTGTGCAGAAGTGTACCTATGGTCTTTCAAGGACTCAATTTCTGTACAGAAGGTTTTAATCTCTGACCATTAATTGCTTTGGAAGATAGATGGAAGGATTTCTGGGTCAGTTCAACAGAGATGTTTTCTACTTTGGCAGGATACCAGAAGTACTGGAGAGAAGGGAATAAGATAAATTCTTGAAGGCTGCTTGTTCCTCCTTGTTACTTGTAAGGGAAATAGAAACAGTTAAAAGGATTACATAGTTTTGAAGAAAAAACTGCTATAAAAGCCACAAAGAAACTAAAAGATCTCTTCTTGTAATTTCCCCTTGAATAAGGGCAGTCCCTTCCTCTCCTGCATGGGAAGTATGTGTGGATGTGTGGTCTCTCTGTTGAAGTCACCTGGTAGGTGGTCACAGCCTTCTGCTCTGTGCTGATGTCAGTTGGCACATGCAGAATGGGAGCCGCAGGTCAGACCTTTCCATAAAGGTCCCTATCTTGTAGGGTACTTGCTTTCTTGCTTTTTATAGGCTGCAGTTCTGTCCTCAGCCCATCTCAAACAGCTGCAGTTTGTTTTCCTGGGGGCTGTGTTTTGGAGGACATGGTGTTTTAGGGATGTGCTGGCACGTTTACATGCTCTGCTGAGAGGTGCTGTATTGTCCTCCACTGCAATCCAGCAAATACAAAGAAGGTACATGGCCGTGCTTGCCCAGTGTGTCTGTGGAGGGGCTCACTACCTGGGTTGGCTCAAAAAACAGGTAAGAATTCTGCATTAGTGCACTGCTTCAGTATTTTCTGTCTTACTGCTATGCAAGTCTTGATGTCATCAATTGCTTGAGCAGTGACTGATGTCATAAGGTGGCTGCAAGTTTGTTCTCTCCCTCATTATCTGAGTAGTTCAGCTCTGCTGGAATTTACAGGACCCGAGTGGCAGTATACTCTACTGTCTACTAGTAAATCTGTAGCACATTTCTTCTTGGAAAGTATTAAATCTGATATGTGTCTAACTAGCCATGTATCTGTGCTCCATAGCACTTAAGAATTGCTGCTTTTCAGAATAAAGGTTTCTAGATTTTGATGTTGTGAGAGGTAAGCAGCTCTAACAGTATTAAAGGAGGGAAATGGTGCTGTTTGGCATGCTACTGATAGGAGAAAGGTGGCAGACTAGAGCTCATTTGTAGGTGAGGGTTCATTTCACCTGCTTCACATAAAAGCTCTGTGGTCTCGCTTTAGCTTTGGTCTTGCTGCAGCCCCTGTGGACGTGAGGGGCAATGTGGCCTGTTCTGAAAAATAGTGATTGTGCTTTTTTCTTCTGTTCCCAGGGCCCAGTCATTTATGCGCAGTTAGATCACTCCGGAGGACAGCACAGCAACAAGATTAACAAGTCAGAATCTGTGGTCTATGCTGATATTCGGAAGAACTGAGATGAGATCCTAAGCTATCCAAAGGGAAAAACACATTCAGACTGGAATTGCTTGAACAAGATTTGACCCAGAGAACTCACATGTGGCCTTTGATGCCTAGGCTAGGACCAATGCATGTGCATACAGAGGGAAAGGTATCTATGTATTGTGTGTAAATAGTCTATTTAATAGTACAGAAGTGAGACCAATGTTGCATGTTGAAATGCAGTAAGAATTTTGCTTATAAATTGCCAGTATTCTTTTTTTGTATCTTGTCTTGACGAGAGAGAAAGTGAAAACTTGCATCATAATTTTAAAATATTTTTATCTTGATTAATAATGGAGAAACTGGAAAATGCCTGGAGATTCTAGATTGACCTGGAGATTCTTTTTTTTGCTTATAGGACCTAATTTCTTCTGTTGAGGTGAATATAAAGAAGACATCCTCTTTACATTCACAGAATTCTTTATGTATACAGGGTATTTGTCTTTCCTTGGTCAGATTCTCAGTACAAGCTGCTTTCTCGTATAAATGAGACACTCTCACTTGTTCTTGTAAGCCAAGCAGTGACTCCTAGCTACCAGAGATATATGTCTTAGCAGTGAAAGTGAAGGAAATGTTTAGGCCTACCTGACCTGTGTCACATAGGTCACAGAACTGCCTGCTTCTGTATTGAGCCCATCTATTCAAGCTCAGTTCTTTGAAGTACAGGGATAGTGTTCAACTAATGAATTTTGTGAAATGGTAGTTTTCCTGTGAAAACTCAAGAGCTAGAGAGTTAAAGTATAGGAAGCTATAGCTGTAGGTGGTTGCTTCAGACTCTTGAATCTTTCAATGACATGTTTCTTCCCTGAAGCTCTGTCATTTCATATAAGCATGAAAAATGGCTGTGATACTCCCTCACCTTTTTCCCATTGCTCCATTATACCACTCACTTCCTTAGAGATGCTTTATCTATTCTGAAAAGCCTGTATTGGAAGCTGAATGACCTCTGGAAGAAATCTGGGGGTTCACTCTTCAGTGTTTTGTTTTTGTTTTTTTTTTTTTGAGGTGTGGTTTTTTTTGTGTAACCTGTATTTGCACAGAGCATGTGGAGGGCAGTTTATTTCCTTCCTCTCTGCAAGTCTACTACTTGAATATAATTTCCCAGCTTCTTGTTTCTAGATAAACTCCTTGTAGATTGTTAAGGATCTCTAATTGTTCTCCTCTACTGGAGAGAATGTTTCTTTAGCTGATGCATTTGTATACTGAGATCTGGTGCTCAAAACTGTGACATTCCACCTGAGGTCTTCTAAGAGTAGCATATACTAGAAGGATTTCTGTTTTTCACATCCTAATGTGGTGTTGGCTTTTTTGTTGCAGCAAATAATTTTCAGTTTGGTCTGCCATGACCCCTTCCCTCTGATTCTTACCCATTTCCTAATTCAGTCTAATTCAAGTCCTAATTCATCAAGAATGGCTGAGGTTGGAATGGACCTCTGGTGACAATCTAGTCCAACACTCTCCGTCTTCAAGCAGGGTCAGCTAGAGCAGATTGCCCAGCACTGTGCCCAGCTGGGGACATCTGTCTCTACAGATGGAAGCTCTACATCATCTCTGGGCAACGTTCCACTGTTTGATCAGTGTTAGGGCTTTTTTCAGTCCCCAGGTGTAAGAAATGAGACAAGGCAGGCAGGAGACCAGCATAGCTGAGTTGAGACCTGCTGGTTGAATTAAAGGGCAGGAAGGAAGTGCACAGGCAGTGGAACCAGGGACAGGTATGTCCACTGTTGGATCAGTGTTAGGGCTTTTTTCAGTTCCCAGGTGTAAGAAATGTGACGAGGGAGGCAGGAGACCAGCATAGCTGAGTTGAGACCTGCTGGTTGAATTAAAGGGCAGGAAGGAAGTGCACAGGCAGTGGAATGAAGGACAGGTATCCTGGGATGAGTATAGGGACACTGCCCAGTTGTGTAGGGATGGGGTCAAGAAGGCCAAGGCGCAGTTGGCGCTAAACTTGGCAAGGAACGCAAAGAATAATAATAAGGGCTTCCACAGGTATGTCAGCCAGAAAAGGAAGGTAAAAAAAGAGAGCATACCCCTCCTGATGAGCAAAACTGGCAAGCTGGCAACAGATCAGGAGAAGACAGGTCTTCAACAAATTTTTTTGCCTCAGTCTTCACCAACAACCTCTTTTCCCACACCTCTTGAGTGTATGTAGCACAAGATGGGGACCAGGGGAGCAAATTCACGCCTATAAAAGCAAATCATGTTTGTGACCCCCCGAGGAACCTGAATAGATGTAAGTTTATGGGACCTGACGAGATGGATCCCAGAGACCTGAGGAATCTGGCTGGTGTAGTCACCAAACCATTCTCCCTGATATTTGAAAAGTCCTGGCAGTCAGATGAAGTCCCTGGTGACCGGAAAAAGGGAAACACTGCACCCATTTTTAAAAACAGTAGAAAGGAAGACCCCAGGAACTACTGACCTGCCAGCCTCACCTCTGTGCCTGGGAAGGTCATGGAACAGGTCCTCCTAGAAGCTGTGCCTGGAGGCATAGACATGGAGGACAGGGAGGTGATTTGAGACAGCCAGCATGGCTTCATCAAGGGCAAGTCCTGCCTGACCAATCTAGTGGCGTTCTATGATGGGGTGACTACATCAGTGGACAATGGAATAGCTATGGATGTAATGTCTGGACTTCTGTAAGGCCTTTGACATGGTCCCCCAAAGCATCCTTCTCTCAAAATTGGAGAGATATGGATTTGATTGGTGGACTGTTCAGTGGTTGAGGAATTGGCTGGATGGTCACATGCAGAGAGTAGTGGTCAATGGCTTGATGTTCAGATGGCGACCAGTGACAACTGGTATCACTCGGATCCATACTAAGACCAGTGCTGTTTAATATCTTTGTCAATGACATAGTGCAATTGAGTGGTACAGCTGACACCAGAGGGAGGGGATACCATCCAGAGGGACCTGGACAAGCTTGAGAAGTGGGCCTGTGTGAACCTCATGAGGTTCAACAAGGCCAAGTGTGAGGTCCTACACCTGGCTTGAAGCAGTCCTTGATATCAGTACAGACTGGGGGATGAGGGGATTAAGAGCAGCCCTGCAGAGAAGGACTTGAGGATACTGGTAGGTGAAAAGCTGAACCTCAGACAGCATTGTGTGCTCACAGCCCATGCCAACCAGATCCTGGGCTGCATCAAAAGAAATGTGGCCAGCAGGTCAAGAGAGGAGATTCACCCCCTCTACTCTGCTCTGGTGAGATCCCACCTGGAGTCCTGTATTCAGCTCTGGAGTTCTCAGCAGAAGACAGATGTGGACCACAAAAATGATCAGAGGGCTGGAGCACCTCTCCTGTGGAGAAAAGCTGTGAATGAGTTGGGGTTGTTCAGCCTGGAGAATAGAAGGTTCTGGGGGGAGACCTTATTGCAGCCTTTCAGTACCTAAAGGGGGGCCTATAAGAAAGATGGGGACACTCTTAACTAGGTATAAGGAAGAAATTTTCTACAGAGAGTGGTGAAACACTGGAGCAGGTTGCCCAGAGGTGGTAGATGCCCCATCCCTGGAAGCATGGTCAGGTCATGTGCGACGAGTCTCTGAGTAACCTGATCTACTTAAACATGTCTGTGCTCACTGCAGGGGGGTTGGACTTAGATGGCCTCTTTAAAGGCCTCTTTCAACCTTTTCTATGACTTTTCAGACCTCATCTTCATATTGTGAGCTGAAAACTTGGTTTGAGTTGTCATACTGCCCTTCCATGAGCTTGAACACTCTTAGCTTGGTATTTCGAAACTTAAGCCTACATTCCACTGTAACATGAAATGAAAATTATTTTTAAGCCCATGTCAAACCCTTTCAGAACCATGTTAGATAATCCTTAAATTATGACAGTGCAACTTGAGTAACTAGTTTGTGTATGTGGTTTTGTTTTTGTTTTTTTCCAACAAAGCTGGGTATGCCAACACTATATTCTTTCATCAGGGTCAGACTTCACTGATGTCCTGAACAACACCTGCCTTTGTTAGAAGCCTCATTAAGATCAGGATGAATCCTGCTGCTGCTTTTTTCCTTATCTACCAGGCTGTTACTTCCCAATATTTGTTTTACACTTAGGAAGAAATTAATATTTTGATCTGGTTGATGGAGAAACATGATTTTCATCTGTCTGTGTTCATCCATCCCTGTGCATCACCATCTTTCTCCTCAGACATTTTAGAGTAAGAGGGAGAAATGTGATGAATGTAGCAATTAAAAACTTGCTGCTATGAGAAGATAGGGCTGTCCTTGGCTCTTAAGTCTGCTATTAACATTTGTTTCTTTTCCTGGTGGAATATACTGGAGTAATCCGAGTCCTGATCTGGTGCTGACTTTAAGAAACAAGCGGATTTGGTTGGTGCTGACTTTAAGAAACACACAGATCTGTCTGGTGCTAACTTTTAAGAAACTGATCTGGTTGGTGCTAGCTAGCTAACTTTAGGAAATATATCCTTCCATTGCTTCTGTTTAGCTACAGGTATGTTTATATAGCCTATACTGCAGATGCTCATTGCAGGGCTGTTCGGATCCTCTTTGTGAAGGCAGAATGAACTCTGAAGTATTTTTTTTTTTTATTATTATTAAATTGCCCAATGTCTTTTTAGAAAGAAACAAATGTCCTTTCCCCCAGGAATAGCAGAAATCTATCTGAATCCTTGTTTGGAACAGAGGCTATTGTATTATCTTCTTTTTTTTTTTTTGTCATTCAGACTGAAGTGAAAAAGACTTGAGGCAGTGTGAGACAACATATGTGAACTTTCTGTCCCCTCAGGTGTTAACCTAGCTTGTTTAATCCTTTGACAGCCTGTGCTGAGGATAGCTTAACTGCATGCTAAATTGGCTTACTTAGTACTAAATCTCAGAGCACTTCTACTTCCTTGATGGGTAGCAAGCAGAGATTAGTTAAACAAGGTCACCAAATCCTGATGTTATGGCAGTCAGAACTTTAACTCTTGTTTACTCTACTGTTATTCTTTTAGTTCTCTGATGCTGTTCTTTGCAGGTGGAAAGGAAAAGTGTGGACTTTGTGGAACATGAAGTGTGTTGTCCTGTTGTAGTACTACTGCTAGTTCTTCTTAGGACCATCTATTTCAAAAAGAAGTTCTGTGTGGCAGGCTTGCTGCAGCAGTTTGAGGGGTGGGCAGTAGCAAATGAATAAAAATATTACATGGGTCTTGGATAGTGGAACTGGGGAAGGTCTGTGTGATGTGAAAGACTTGTGGTAAATTCTGTTTTACTTATCATACAAACAAAACTGGGATCAATCTGAAATCAATTTCTCAGTTGAGAGGGAAAAAAAAAAAAAAAAAAAGAGGTCTTTTATGGGGAAGAGCAACCTTGTACCCACTATAGGAGTGCAGTTTTGGATGGCCAGCCTGAGCTCTGGCAGAAAAGCCAGCAGGCACCTCCTAGAGACAGGGATATGAATGGCATCATTCATCTTCCCTATTTTAACAGAAATGCAAAAAGGAAAAGTTTTGGCTTTTTACTAACAGTGAATATAGTATTTCTTAGTTTTGATTACTAGAAATTAATTTTGAGAATAGGATTACAAATAATTATAAAGTGTCAATCCAAGTAAATGTATAGCTGCACTTAGTACTTTTAATCTCCATTGCCCCTTTTGACTTCAGCAGTTTTTATGTGAGGGAAGTGGTTGGCATGTTCACAAAATGCCATTAAGAGCCATTAATTAAGTGGCAGATAATATCTCTGTAACTAACAGAATGATGTCGCATTTATAACCAGAGACCCGCAGGGTTTTGTTTTCTCTCAAAGCTTCAGTGATACTTAAGTTTGTGACTAGAGGAGCTGGAATTAGATTTTTAACTTTTTAAAACCTGTGAGAACTGTTTAGGTAACCATCTGTCTTGTAACTGCAGTAAACATGTATATGCAATGTAGAAGCTGCATTGCCTTAGTGGATTCATTGAGGCTGACTGTGGGCTGTTTGATTTATAACCAAAACATGTTCACTCTGTATTGAAAACTTGTCTTGGAATTTTACATTGTTCATGTTATCTACCTAGGACCTCAAATACTAAATGTTCTTATTGTGCAATAGGTGATGGAAATATTTTCTCTTTAAGATCATCAAAGCTGAGAAGGTCAGTAAGACTTTTGGGCTATGGCTACACCTACATGAAGTGCTAGTTATTAGGTAACATTTTTATATGGGACACTACAAGATCATATTAACTGTGCTCAGCAATTACACTCTTCTTGAGGCTTCTCTTTCTCTTCGCTGCCCTAAAGCTAATAAGCCCTTTCACTTAAAGGTATTTTTGCACTCTAAAATATAAGTTCAATGCCTTTGGAGATCAGCGTGCCATGCAATCTTCTGTGTCCCTGCAGAGCCAGCTGTTTTTATGCGGTAAATGCGACTGGAAACATAGCCTGGGTACTTCTGTTTTGTAAACCTCTGTCTTGGAGGTATGCAAGAGAACCAGCACCTGTAAGACAGGTGTATAATCTGTGTGAGGGAGTTCAATATGCATTGTGTGGCCTGAAGACCCCGTGCACCAACTGTCAGTGCTTTTGCTTTTACAGATTCATCTGGAAACTGTTATCTTGGATATTTTTTCTTGAATGGACTTTCATGTTTTCTATTGTAATCTTGTGAATATTTTAATACACTTTTTTTCTCCCATTGCTGGTTTGCTGGGTGAGTCTTATCTGGTTAGGGGCTAGCAAGAGAGGGGGGCTGAAATACAGCACCCCTCTTTCTGGCAATACTCTTCAGTCACTGAAGTCTCTGTCAGCTCAGTGAAAATCATGGCTGGAAAGGTCACCATTTGAACTGGTACCCTCTATTATCACTTCAGCTATGAGAATGAAGAAATGCCAGTGAAACCGTAGCAGGATACACATAGGAGAGAAATGGCTTCATGGCAGGGGACAGCTTCTGAAAAAAGGGGAGCTGGCAGACTTTCAGATATGTGTCTTGTAAGAAAGAAAAATACTTTCATTAAAGTTCCGTGCTCAAATCCTTTCTACAGGATAATGTAACATTATGCGTAGAGTGAGAAAGGAGACATCAGGGCCACAGCAGGGTGCTGTAGCTCTTGCAACTAAAAACAGTTTGCTTGCCGTGGTGGAGTGAAAACTCAACGGGATTGTGGGAAAGTAGGGATGGAGAGAGACTTAGTAACAGGACTTTGCAAAACTCTAGTATGTCAAGGCCATCATTTTCCTGAAAGCTAAATCCTGAAAAAGCTTCTCCGTCTCACAGTTATCTTTTTCTCATGGATCTGAATTCCTGAGCTCTAGTACTGACTCCTAGCTTTGTTGGAAAAGATCTCAGAACCTGCCAGGGAAGCTCAGTGATGCCATGCTCTGAGCAGAGCTGACTTGTACGTGCCAGTAACAGGTGAGCTTTTGCAGTGTAATGTAAAGCCTTGGCTCTAAAGCTATTTCACAGTGGCACATTTTTCCAGTTCCCAGGAGAGTGAATAGGTGGAGATGTTGTCTTCTAGAGAAGGCTTCAGTGTTTATTCACAAACATGGCCCAGATGGGAGCAGACCACTGCCTCCAGAGCCTTGGAGAACTGACATGCACATATTTGCTGAGTGCACACCTTCAGAGGAAAACTGAACCTACTTGAGGTAGGGTAGAAGGTGAGTAATAGAAGTTTGGGCTGTTTATTTTTCACACTCCCAAGAACCAGGTATTTAAATGCGCCCATCTTCTGCTTTATGTTGTGAAGGATGACAGAAGCTAAAACACCAGTGGCACATGCTGGTTTGTCCTCTTGTTAAAGACAGTGATGGCTGAAAAGAATATCCTTATGCTACCAGGAAAAACATCAAGGGAATAAAATGCAAAAGCTACTGTTGGTTGCTGAAAGTATGGCAAAACCCTACCCAGGTCTGACCATGCCATGAAAGATTGCTTCAGTCTGAGACTCTGGTTGACTGTCACCAGCACTGTGTCACTCCCAGCATTCTTCAGTGGAGTCTAGTAAGGTGGGACCCAATGACTCATTCTAAGCACAATCCATAATCAGTTTATTTTAAAGAGACAATATAAGGCACGAATTTTTACTTCAATGTAAAAGCTCGCACTTCATTTAAATGTATGGAGATATTTTTTATTTGCAGTTAGAAAACGCTTTCTAGACATTTAGATTTCCTCTTCTATTTGCTCAGAGGAAAAACAATTAAAATTAGTGAAGCTAGGTCCCATGGGGAAGGGTTTGTGCGTTGCTTGATTTGACCTGTTGGGTTAAGCATCTCTTTGTGGCAACGGCTCTTGTTTTGCTTTTAACTCCTGATTATACCTATAGGGGGAAAAAAAACACAACCCACAGACAAAGAATAGAACATCAGGTACAATAACAGTGTCTTTGTAACAATCTGTTCAGCAGAGGAGGTTTAAAATTACAATAATGAGCATAGAAACTCAGGATAAAATAATTTAGCTCATGTAAGGAGTTCCAAATTAATTGTTAAGTTTGCCTCATTCCTTGCCAGAGAACTCCAAATCTTCCTTCAAGAACTAATTTTAAAAAAAAAAAAGAAATGCTGTTCTGCTTAAGAGTGCTTTGATCCATCTGGAACCGACACAATTCAACACTGAAAAGCTGACAAGTGCAAAGCTTATGAGGTGGAGAAAGTCTAGACTGTTTATCAGTCAGACCTACAGCTTTTAAAGAACACTTCAGACCCAGAAACTACAGCTTACGCAGATCATTCCTTAAAATATGCTCTTGCTATACGGAAAAAAATGTTAAGTGTCACTCCCACTCAACTGAAAAACTAACAATGTAGCAAAAAATCTCTGCAATGTTCAATTAATTGTTTAGTTTCTCTTGCCTGTTGCACTGACATTGAGACCTGCAGAATTATTACTTCCTGGTTAAGATGAGGTGGTGTGAATGTTTAGTTAGAGTATGTAGAGTAGCCCTTCTTAATACATACCTCCATATTCGGAAGAGTTGAGAGCCACCAGCACAGCCAACAAAGAAGTTCACAGCAAACAGGCTCCAATTTTTAGGAATAATAACGAGAGAGTACCTTGACCAAATAAGGCCTGTTGAATGCAAGGGCAAGTTTAAAGATGTTAAGTCTTTGAAGTTAAATATTCAGACGTTCCCCTGAGTTTGGTGGGCCAGTTTAAGTAAACAAGTTTTATAACTTCATGTTAGACAACTGCTTTTCTTATAACTAGCCATTTCTTAGTTAAAAGCACATCAAGTGCCAGTGGGATAGCTATGGGTATGTATTCCATTTTTTCCCAAAATAACTGGACAATAAGGTCAATATTGCATAGTCTTAATATCAAAGATCCTCTGTTCTCTACAGCAGTCTAGACCGTAATTCTCCAGCACAGTTACAAGGTAGTGGCATTTTTGCTGTCATATATCCAGCTTGCTGCACAAGCTTAGAAATATAGAATCCACCAGTTGAGAAAGGTTTAAGTATCATGCAAAGTGCACACCACTCTGTCAGATGTCAAAATAAAGTCTCCAGAAGAAAGAAAGTGGTAGGTGTAATTTTGACTTTCAGATTTAGCTGCCACAAGTCCTGTCCCTGATAAGATCTGATAGAACAACTTGAATACAGAATGTTTGTGCCAGTGTGAAAATTCATGGCAGACAGCAGTGCAGCAGTCCATGTACCACTGCTTTCAAGTTCTTTTAAAATATGGAAATTCTTTCCAGTTACATTTGAGTAATTGCCCTACTATTGTTTAAACCCTTAGTCTGTTCTAAAAAAGTCAATATATCCTGGACTGATTTCAAAATTACTTGATGTGAAGCAAAAAACATGAGTGGAATGAGTGGTAAGCTAAGGGATGAAACTCATATCCTAACTTAAGAGAACTTGCTCTGGACAATTCCAAATTAAGACAGATGTAGAAAATAGTTATATAATCACAGAATCCTTACAGATTTAATAACAAGTATATGCCTGTCCTAGAATTATCATAGGACAGCAATAGCAAGAGCATACTATAGTTAAGCCTTTTCTACACAAGTGGATCAGTACTGATGGAGTATTCAGAAAGAAACACATACAGTTTTAAAGAAGGTGCTGTGTAAAAGCACAGAGTAACTTTGGCTTTACCTGTGGCCATTAGTACTGCAGACTGTGCTGTGCTGAGCTTTTCTGCTGGTCTGGTCATATCAGCCATTCCAGCACATACCAAACCCTGGAAAGAGAAATTCAGTGAGCACCAGTAGAGTACTAGGACCTCCTATAACAGATCAAATACTTTACAGGGGGAAGTTGCTTCAAAGCTCAGTGCTTATTCTGTATGCATTATGCAGGAGATGGGATCTATTATATGGTCAGAGTAGGCTCATGTAGACACCATCCACTTTCTAGTCCCCTGTGGTAGGAATAAGAACACAGTTATGGAGGGTGAAACTGGCTTGCCATAAAACCCCAGGCAGTGGCAATTTTATATTAAAGTACAGCTGCTTAAGAAAGCAGCTGAAAAAAATTGTTTTCATGGAACAAATGGAAGTGTACCTAAATTGGGGCTGCTGCCTTAAAGCTCAGGCTAAGATCTTGCTAGTAAAGGTGTGGGTGTGACACCATATAGTCTCTACTCCACCTCATCTGAGGAGGTAAAACCACTTCTTTTCTAATATAATTTCAGTAAAAGTAGAACACTTCCAGGTGAAGCGAGGAACAATTTGGTTGATCTACTTGAGAACATTACAAGCAAACATATGTTGCTTGACTTGTTTTGTTGTCTTACTGCCCTCTACTGGAAACACAATTTCATGTTCATGTTACAAGAGTTCAAAAAGCCCCAAATCCCACACGTAAGAGTGTCTTAATGCTTTTAATTCACTGACTGCCACTAAGGACTCCTTTGGCTCCAATTCAGAAACCAGTTTGATTGATATTGCCGGAGCAGTGCCACGGAGCTACAGACTTCAAGCATGCTTGGGTAACCGCAGTACATGCACCTTCACCATGTCGGGGCAAAGTCATTTTAACTTCTCAGTGAAGAACTTCACTGTGAGCTTCAAGAAGTCTGCCTGCATGTTCACAAAAGAAAAACTATCAGTGTATAAGCTCTCCTGATACAGCAGCAGTTGAACAGCCTGCTCAGAAAAGCTCACTGTATGCTGAGGCTCAAGAGCCTGCTTCCTCAGAGAGCCTCTGAGAAAGGGAAAGGTTAACCACGACTACTGGCAGCTCCTGTTTAGATTGACACAGAAACCAAGCTAGGGCTTAAGAGCATAATGCATTGCCTGTAGCCTAGAAAAAGTTGGTGTTCACAATGGCAAACTTATGAACCAGCTGGCAATAGGGAGAGCAGCTTATATCCTTGCTTGTTATCAAACAAGGAGCTCAAAGAGCTTTATGATTTTAAAGATAATTTATTTTATCTCTACCAATTGTGGGGAATGGACCCTTTTCTCTTTTCCCCACAAACAAGATGCTTTTCAAGCCATCAAAGCAAGCAAAGTGCCTTTTGCCGATTTAGCCAAGGACAAACTGAGACAGACTCAGACAAGAGCATAACAAAGACTGGCAGAAAAATAAATAACAGGCTGAAGAATGCATCTAGCCAATGTTGATTGGCTAATACAGACAGTGACTTCTATAAGAGGAAAGCAAGCTTGCTGAGCTGCCTGGAGCTTCTGTCGGCGAGACTTCTACTGGAGCTGCCTGAGCTTGCCAACACTGCTGCCTGCCGCCTGAGAAGAGAGAGAAGTGTGGGGGGGCCGTCCACAGCTGTTCCCCGGGGGGGGATTGCTGTTCACTGCAGCCTGCCTGCTCCTGGGGGGCCACTATCTGCCAGAACTGGAGCTGGGACCGAAGCTTGCGGTGCCTGTCTGTCTGCCAGCCTGCCGAGTCTACTACTGGGGGGTTGCACTGGCCACCTGGATGCCAGCGCCCCCACAGACCGCCTGCCGAGCTGCCGACTGCATTCTCGCTACGGAGGGACGGTAACACACACAAATCCACATATTCTTTAACGTTTCTGTCGGACTCAACTCCTATCCTTTCTCTTCATTGACTCTACACCTCTCCCAGGGCAGGGTGGGGGGGGTACCCTTGACTTTCCCTTTTGATATACTTAAGACTGCCTTTGCTGAACCTCAACCCCTCAATTTGTGGAGACTTTCAGTAAACTGAATAATTCATACATTAATCGTTAGTCTTGGTAACACTTTGTGAGTGTGGTGAGGGAGTATTCCAATCTACCCTCTAAGATACAGCCCTGCAGTGGCTGGTCCTGTGTGAGAGGCGAGTGCCGTGTGGGCACCCTCACTCTATCGAGAAACTTCTCTGTTTGGGGGGAGGGGGAAGTCATGGAAGCACCCTGACAGCTGATAGCCCACTAATATCAACCCGCGGCACCAATACAACTAGGAGGGGTACAGTGAATCAGGAGGAGGCACATACTTCAGCCATGCACAAACACAGCCAAGCAGTATAACCACTTTCTTCTCCACAGAACTGCACAGGAAGCTGAGAACTACTGACAGGTGAAATAGCCGTTGCCTTTTTTCTCAAGAGTACCTTGTGCTCTGACATGCCTTCAAACTATGAGGCGTAAGAATTGGCTTCACATTCTTCAATCTCAGAAGAAATACATGGTTTAAGAGTTTTGAATTATGCCAGCTCATGCCTACCTTGAACAACAGTTAGTGTTTCATTAGAGAAAACTTTTGTGAAACTTTCAGCAAAGAATACAAAGCAGTTTCCCTCTGCTGTATCCTCTGCATGTTCTGCTAGATGTTATGAAGGCAAATTTTCTTCCTCCCAGCATATTAAAAGTTAGAGCCTTGGTATTAAATTTTTCTGTAGGCTCAAATATTTGCTGCAGATTGCCTTCTGACATCCAGACACCAGCTGGCTTCTTATACTTACCCATTTCATAATAGGTGCCCAGAAAAACACTGTTTTAGGACCTGAGGGACGGAAAAAAAAGAAAAGTTAAATTATTCAGATGTGGCTGTTTAAAGAAAAACTTTCTGTGGGTATTAAGCTTTATTTTTTTAAATAACATTGTGTACATTAGTACAGTTTCTACCACTGTACAACCTCTAGCCCCCTGATCTCATAAATCATCAACTCAGTGCATCAGCTTTCAGTTGTGTAATCAGGCCACCCATTTCTGCAACACAGAAGTAGGATTTTGTATTTCCATTTTTAAGCAAACAAGGACAGTAGAGCAGGCACAATGCAATTATAATTAAAAGAGTTACGCTAAGGCCTAGAAATAGTGAAGACAATCTCTGTCGTTGAGAAGGACACGACACAAGCTTGTGAGCAAGAAGATAATCTTATTGTTCTAACAAGCCTTTTTATACCTTTTCTTAAACATATGTGTCTATATATGATTGGTTTAGTCAAGGATCAACAGTTCATGATTGGACAACTTTTCTCTGCTGTAACTTCAAGAAACTTCCTTTATGTGTTCCTTCTGGCAGCCTGGCAGTTTCTTCTGGCAGTCCCGTATCTTTTTTACTCCGCTGCTCTCAGTAGTTCCCAGCCTCTTCAGGGATACACGGTTATCTGCTTGCGTTCCGATCCCTCGGACCAGACGAGGTTCTCACAATGCCCCCTTTTTGTATTTGTGCTACAAAAACTGCCCGTGCTATCCGCTGCAGGGCCCTTTGCAGCAGAGACACAAGACATGGCAACATCAATAACACAACTACAGTGATGAACAAAACCAACAATCCAGTTTTTATCAAAGACAGCAACTATCCTGACAGTGCCTATCCTTTAAACAAGTTATTCAGCCAATCCCATCCATCAACTAAAACCAACAATCCAGTTTTTATCAAAGACAGCAACTATCCTGACAGTGCCTATCCTTTAAACAAGTTATTCAGCCAATCCCATCCATCAACTAATTGTAATTTCTTCACTCCATCTTTCAGAGGCTGGATACTTTTATGTATTGATTTTGAATGATCTGACAAATTCATACAACACATTCCCTCAAAGTCTTTTAGTTTGTTTTTGTTGTGAATCATAGTAAGGTTGGGTGTTAGTAATGTAAGCTGCCCAAGGCTACAGCCCACCATTAAGTTTCGATGGAATTCCAACGCACGCTCTATCCCCACAAATTAAAAACAGAAAAAGAGCGTGATATATTGGGGGAGATGTAATTGCACCAGGATGTAGCATTTCTACACACAGGCAAAGTAGTATTTATATTCTGACTCGATTGGTGTTGTAGGTATAGTTAAACATCACACAAGCATCCATTGTGACTGATCCTAATAATTCCAGCTCTTGAGGTTCTTGTGTTACCTGAGGCAAATGTGCATTAACACAAGATTATGGATTATTGCAAGGTCTGTGAGGCAGAAGTCATGGCCAAGTGTCTAGAGGCAACCTGACCAAACAGGGAGAAAAAGGATTTTCAGGGGTAGCCACAGAAAGACATAAAGCTTCTTGATGTGTTATATTTGTCAAAGGTCTCATGTTTTTATATTCACATATACACGTGTGTCATCTGCTTATTAGCTAATACATCAAAACAATTCACACACACAGCCTGTGAGCTGGCTGCCAGGTCATTCTGAATGTGCAGCTGTTAATTTTCCCATGAGACTGTTGGAATTAAGTCTTACTATTTTTGCTTTCAGTTTCTAGCTGATCTACTAACAACTCAACTTGTTTTTGCCCAAGTTCTTTAGGCGCTTTGAACATTCTTATCACTGGCTTCGCATGGTACCAAAGCCTTCAGGTTTTGTGTGCTGCTACACAAGCTAGCTGCCTCAGCCTGCGCCTCGTCTCTGAGCCCCACAACTTCCCCTTTTCTATTTACTCGTACAGCTAATACTTTGGCAATTACTGAATGAATCAATTTGTTCACACACTGAATTAAACATGGAATACAGAACATTATACATACAAAGATCAAAAGCCTACATTGCAAAGTTTCTGCATCCAGCTACCTAATCCTGCAAACCATCTACCAAACCAGTCCCAAGAATTGCCCATTTGTAGTTTTTGCACTTTGTCTCTTAGCTTTTGAACACTTCAGTGGACTGATTCTGAGTGATCAGATAGATTGATTGATGGTACTGAAAAAGCAAATTGTGGTGTGTCCTTTGGATTCAAGGGTATTGTGAAAAAAAAAAAAAAACCCAAAAAAACCAAACCAACCAACCAAACCCAGTCCTTTAAGTCCATCACTATAATGTTCCACTTTTGGGGAATCATCATTGGAGAAGGCAGTCCTGGCTGCAGAGAACCCATGTCTTCTAAAGCCTCACAGCTTGTACACATAGCTCTTTCCATTCCAATTGCCAGACGGTGTACTCCAGTCCAGTTAAAATTGGGCTGGTGATGAAGCTCTTTTCAAAAGAGAATACAGCAGTCCTGTGGGTCCTGGCTCAGTCTGATTATCACAGGGAATGCTTGCAATATTTCAACCTCCCTGTCGGCCGCCGCTTGTTTGTGAACAGCAGCCCATTGGTCAGGGGGATCCAGAGGAGGATGCAGATCAGGCTCTTTTTCTGGATCAAGTGGGTCAGGTTCACAGGGGTCCTCTCTCAGGCACCCCCCCACGGCACCAACCAGCTCTTCCTTAAGACTTTGCTGAAATTCTATACCCCTCACGGCATCAACCAGTTCCTTCTTAAGAGTTTGCTAAGACTTTATTGGAGAAGAAGCAGACAGAGTTAGGGAGGATTCTAAGACATTAGTGTAGGAGGAATTTCCCTTAAGCTCAGCAGTTCTTAAATATGTTTTTTTAGCACTTCAAAGACAGTTTGCCAGGGACTTAAAAAGGCAATGATTTGTCTTATTGCCTTCTGTGGACCAGTCTCATAAAACAACTCACAATTATTCCATGTTTTGGGCTTAAAAACATTAGCGGTATTTAGATCAGGGTCTTGGCTACGGTCCTACAGTAAAAGTCTCTTTAGACTGTTTTTGTCTAAAGGGTGATTATGCTTCCTGTCAGAGCTTTTGCTACCGGTTACATGGGTCTAACCTGCCGTTCAGTGGATATAAATCTGGCTCCTTCTCGGGATCTCTGGGCCTTGGAGCGAAAGGGTATTCCTTGCCCTTGCTGTCTGAAGCGTGAGCTGCCATCGCTGCAGAGGCACTGGTAACCCCTGCCTGTTTCTCGTTCTCCGATGGACAGGGAGGGACAGTAGGGATGGCCGAGGAGGATTCGGGGCTGCTGGGTTTTGTAGCTCCCCTTTTCACCTTAAGGGCTTCATAAACAGTACTCCAAATGCTCAGCAGGTTCTTTGCAGTGTCCTCGCCTTTCATGGTGGTGTCCCTGAACTTAACCTCTGTTTGATGCCATACGCCTACTCGGAACACTTGGTTAGAGTCCAGAGAAGAGGTTCGTACTTTAAGCCATTTCAGCATCAGCTTTAAATCATTCCATGTCGCCCCATGTTCTTTTAAAAGGGCTTTTAACATAGAAAGCACAGAGGCTTATTCTGTTACATTAGCTCCCATCGTTTTTATTCTTGGCTGCTCACTCTCTGTCCATCAGAAAGGTCTGTAGAAGCTTTTGTAGTTCAGCTGAGTGTTGCCACCATTACGACCTCTCAGTCGCCTCCTAAGATCCTGATACGGGCAACATCTGTGGCAACGAACTGCACAGACCAGGCTCAAAAACCTCGATCTTCCTTACTTAATGAAGTACTCATGTTCCCAGCAGCTCAACTCATCCAGGTGTCTTGTTTCTTTAAAAGCCAGCTCTGGCAGCTCTACTTGCTGTTCTCTGCTATACTGGGCTCTGTCTCTGCAGGTCTACCAATTGCTCGTGATCACGTCAGGGTCACCAAGTGTTGTTGTCGAGATGGACACGACACAGAAGCTTGTGAGCAAGAAGACACTTTTATTGTTCTAACAAGCCTTTTTATACCTTTTCTTAAACATATGTGTCTATATATGATTGATTTAGTCAAGGATCAACAGTTCATGATTGGACAACTTTTCTCTGCTGTAACTTCAAGAAACTTCCTTTATGTGTTCCTTCTGGCAGCCTGGCAGTTTCTCCTGGCAGTCCCGTATCTTGTTTACTCCGCTGCTCTCAGTAGTTCCCAGCCTCTTCAGGGATACACGGTTATCTGCTTGCGTTCCGATCCCTCGGACCAGACGAGGTACCCACAAATTTCTGTGTAATGATTAAAAGCTACTCATTCTACAGCTGGACTAACAGAATCAGTATTTGAAATCTTTGTGAACTGAATCTTCTCAACTAAAATCCAAAAATGTTTTATCACTGGTCAGTCTCCCCTTCCCTAATCACAGCCCACTTCTTCATGCTGCAGAAGACTTGCTGCGCAGCAGCATTAAGTGGTTAAAAGTTAGAATACAAACTGCAAACCCAAGTAGCAGTAATTGTCACAAGGAGAAAGCCCTCACTCAGTTCTAATCTGTGCCTCTGAATAACAATCTTTCCAGCAGAAACAATGCTTCCCACTCAACCCTATGTGGCAATAATCTACCAGTAGGCAAAGGAGGACTATGGGGGAAGAGGACAAAATCTACAGATGAAAAGGAGAAAAGTCGAAAGAATGGGATCTGGGGGCAAACATCTCTCTTACAAATCCATATATCTTACAGCAGTGCTAATATTGCAGCTGGTTAGTTAAAACACATGTAAGGTCATACCTACAATGTCTAGCCTGCCAACCATGACAGAAATCACTGATGTAAGTCTGCTGCTCAATGTCTTAAAGAGAGACCATGATGCAAACTATCAGCCCACTGCACTGGGAGACAGTCAAGACACTGGTTCTGATTGCATCAAAACACATTAAGTTTTAGGTCTCACTAGGCCACTGCTCAGCATTCTAATAACATGCAAAATGAATCCAAGTTTTTCCTGTAATAGGTTACATATTATGAGTAAATTTTTTAAATATAAATGACAAACACTAGGACTTTGCTTGCTTGCTTTTCATGTGAGCTAATTTTCACAAACAATTCAGCTC